AGCACAGCCTTAGAGTAAAGGGAAGACCTTTTAGAACGGAGATAAGGAGAAACTTCTTCAGCCAGAGAGTGGTGAATCTATGGAATTCACTGCCACAGAAGGCTGTGGAGGCCAGGTCATTGAGTACATTTAAGACTGAGATAGATAGGTTCTTGATTATCAAGGGTTATGGGGAGAAAGCAGGAGAATGGGGTTGAGGAACTTATCAGCCATGATTGAATGGCAGAGCAGATTCGGTGGGCTGAATGGCCTAATTTCTGCTCCTATGTCTTATGGTCTTATAGGTTCTCAACCTGGCTGAGGTCTTACACAAACTTAAGGATTGGAGTCCACTGCGAATTTTGGTAAAGACTGTTTCAGCAATCCCTGTTACAGCCACACCAGTATCAATCTCCGTTAGAACTGGGTGAGCATTTAACCGGATATTTATTTTGATTGGTTCTGATTTGGAAGTTGTTAAGCAATTTAACTGTTGCAAACTAGATGTAGGTGGACTTTCCAGGTGTGCACTCTCCTGGATACCAGCCTATGAGTTCTCTGACTCAATTCAGGCCTAGTGGTACTCTTTTGCCGTCTTGAGTCTGTATACGGGCAGCGATTACAATGGGCTGCGAGGCCGGATTTTTGAGAAAATTTTAACCGTTAGTTTTAGGGTTTTGCTGCAGGCTGACCGAGAGACCCTCTGTTCAAGATATGCCTTGAGAAAGGCTACGCAATTGCCTCATTCATGTGGTGTTCCCCAAGCTCAGACAGCCTGGTGAGGGCATCAACTTCCGTCGGAATATCCAACAACTCATAAGATCCACCTGCCACATTTTCTAAAGACAATGCCAGTTGTAGTGCCTTTTTGAAGTCCAGTTGGGCTTCACATGCATGGTCACATCATTTCTCCCACATCCCAAACGGTCTCTCAGCATCTCACTTATCGTTAAACCAAAATCACATGCATTTGTCAGTCATCTTCACCTTGTCATAAATTCTGATATGGATTTGGTTCCTGAAATGCTGAGTAAAACCAATAGCATCTCAGAATTAAAGGAGTCTTGGGGTCATAATATTCCTTAACTAAATCCATCAACTCTTGAAAGGTTTTAGTATCTGGTGCCTCAGGGAAAGTTCGGCTTCTGCAACTAAAAATGCTGCAGGCCCACAAGCTGTCAGGAGCGTCAGCCTTCCTGCTCCTCTGATGCTGCTTGGTCTGCTGTGTTCATCCAGCTCTACACCTTGTTATCTCAGGAGAATTACTCGTTGCTTTTCCTCTGCCCCAGTGTCATTTGCCCAGAAGAAATTCTTTCCACATATTGGGCCCAGTCTTCAACAGCAGGATCGAATGAGTCAAGCTTCCCAAATAACAGCATGATGCCAGAAATGCTTACGCCAACACAAAAATGACAGTTGTGAGCGAATCTCTTCGAGGTGTGCTTTTCTCTCATCACCACTGAAATAATTCCAAGGAGGCCAGTATTGCATCACCAAATCACCCTTTACTGATACATCCATGGTATATGACACTGAACGGGTAGCTCAGAACTGGATCCTAGATTGATCGGAACCCCTAACACCCCTGTTTATATCTGTCAGCCAGGGCTCCCTGATTGGACCATATTAATAGCCCTTTTAAGGGAACTCAAATTCTATGAGGTCCACCTGGCTGACCTCGTTCCAATCACTACAGACTTTTCTGCAATACCTCAACCTTTCTGAAGACATGTTCCACTTTATTGATGTGGCAGTCACTCAGACCATGGTAGCTGCCATGGATTAAACTATCCCACTTTATGCACCTTTTCGACTCCTATTTTACCATTATCCAACATCTGGCAACAAGCACGAGCTGCAGCTACACGTTTTACTTTCCACTTATTGCCCACAATCCCTCACCACTGCCCTCCTTTTCCATGCTTATGCTTTTAGAGCTCTAAGACCTGACCAGTCAGTTCAGCCTGACGAGAAGGAGTGAAAAAAGGTGCTTGCATCTGCATAAGAAACATTGTCATTTGATCTGATACATGCAGCTACCAGCTTAAATACTGAAGCACATATACTTAAAGGGGAATGAAGAAATATGATTGGCATGTAGTGAGTGATCAGGCATAAGAGCTGTCACAAGGCCAGGGGAAAAGAATTACACTTCAGTCAATTTCCTGGAGGGCAGGATTGCACACAGGTTTTTGCCTCAGATGGGGATATATATGGTGCATTGGGGGGTCTGCAATGGAGCCTGTTGTCACAACAATGAATCATGGAGGTGCCTGGCTCCAATTGGCAAAGAACATCATGTAAATCTTAGAGCCCAATCTTTCCAGCATGGAGTTAGTGGCCAATTGCATGAGCACACCAGAAGTCCCAATGTTTGTTATGTTCGATGGCCCATGCGTCCATATCCATTCCACCACAAGTACAAGCTGAGCACTAGAGTGCAAAGTTGAACCCGGATCATGCAATCTCTACTTGGTGTAAAGCAAGCCCAGCTTAATTCCATTGTGGTGGTAGACAACAATTCTCAAAGGAGATTTCAATCTTTCACAGCAGTCAAACTGCTCCTGCTCTAACTGCTCTAGTTATTATGATCACTGCTCTAGTCATTATGATCACTGAGCTGACACCCCAGGGAAGTCGCACTGGCTCAGTAAAGTGTGGACTAGCTGCCCTCGTTCAGTATGATAGCAATGTCACTCCATAATGTCCTTGGTACTGCTTGTCAGCCAAGCAGGTCCAGCCACTACTGTCGATCCCAAGGTAACTCACTCCAAAACTGGATCACCAAGTCCCAATGCTACCCAAAGACATCCTGCAAGGTTCTCTGGGGGCTCCCTCACCGAAAGTCAGAAGTCTTCCATCAGCTGTACCACAACTATTTGGGTAGGACTATGTGGGATCATAGTTTAATAAAGGTATATAAGATATTATTAACATTTGGGAATTTGGATTTGAAAATAGAGGTCAACAAGATACGTGGTTTAAGGTCTGTGCAGGTAATTTTTTTCAAAGAGATCAGAAATCCACTAGAAATAATGAACTAAAGACACCATTTTCAAGAAGGCATGTGATTTAAGTTAAGTGCCGAGCAAAATTTTTTTGTGATATTATTTAATGAAGTGTTTACAAAGTGAACTTTTATAATTGACAGAGAAAACAAACCAGGGGCCATTAGTTTTCTTGAATTTATTTCCAAATCAGGTTTCAGTTTAAAAAAAAACGGTTTCACCTTAGCAGAATAGTTTTAGTTTGTGAAGTCCCCAAGCTGGAAGACCTTGTGTACAAGTTTTCAAGTGGTCAGAAAGGAAAAGAGGTTTAAGTCATCAGAACAGGAAAGAAGTCCGTAGGCCATCAAAAATTGGAAGTGTTAATTAAGTAAGAAATTAAAGAGTTGAAATAGAAGCGACACTTCACTGGGATTAAGTATCTGTAAAGGATATTGCTGAGAAACAACCCTTATTTTTCTGTTTATGTTAAGATTTTTAAAAACTGTCTTACCTATCTAGCTCATTGTAATAAGTTAGTGTTCTTTTGTGAAAGAATACCTACACCATATTCGACTGCAAAAATTAAATTTTGATCTATCAAGTTATGTTTCACTCTAGGATCTTACTAGTTCAGTATTACTGACAGCTGGGAACAAAACAGAAAACAGGTAAAAACATATGCAAGACAGGCATTAGAGGAATGCAAAAGAGTCAACATTTGAGTATTATACATATAACTGGAAGTGTCATTGAATAAAGATTGGTGGAAAAATGCTGACAACAATGCCCAGAACACTGTTGCTCCCTGATTACCACTGATAGCACCAATGCAAGCAGCTGTGGCTGCTGGTCTAGTTGGCACAGGTGGTAAAGTTGTCTGACCACCATCTGACTGAATTTATAGCCCCTACGGGTACTGCTCCTACGTGAGGTGGAGGGAGGAGAAATGGCCCCTGAGTACCATTAGTGGGTTCAACAACCTTCTGTGGGTATCCTCCTCTTGCTCCTTCTCCTCCTGTTGTTTTCCACAGAGAAACTGAAACTAAAGTTCCTGCGACTATAAACATATTTTCTGATTAAAGCTTTGCAAATCCACAGTATTTCTTACAAATAACAGGCACCATTCCATAAAATTTTGTAAGTTCCTCCAATTACACTGTACTTCCATTAACTTTGCAGCAAAGTCAAAAGCACATGAACTGAACATGGTGATCCCATCAGAAACTCCTTTGAAGCATTCCTTTGTGCAGCAGAACCATAACTTCAGGTACGTATGTTTAAGAACCGGATTAGGGTTATCAAAATGGCATGTTGAGTGCCAACTCAACATTAGATGCTGACTGGTGGTATGATCTGGCCACTCAGCACACACCAATGTCCATGCTAACCAATTTGACCAAAAACAGTCGGTGCAGGCCACACTGGATACATTGGGAGCAGTCCAATATCACATCCCATATTACATTCACAAATTCCAGTCATATCGATAATAGCTGTGCCACAGAGCCAAATTTAGCAGCGTATCCACAATCAAATAACATTATGCTGCTGTTACACTTAGGTATGACAGCTGTCAAAAATGTACAAAGGTTCTTCCTTAAAATTGTGTTCTGTAAAGTTGCTAGTGACCTTGATTGATAGTAATATTATTCTTAGTAGTTGTCTCCAATTTTTTTTGGCAAGTGAGCAATTTAAAATCAAACACAGTCACAAACTAGTGGTAGGCTGAGAAAAGTTCAGGATCTCACCCAGCTGATATGGGATTGGCCAATTTTCTATGTCAAACCTCAACCAAAATGCACTGCAAATGTATCCATTCAATCTTAATGTCACTTTCATTGTCACATTGCCATTTAAGCAGCCACAAATATAGGTTAAAAATGCACACCTGAATATTGTGTGTGAAAGAGGATTTCTGCCCAGGGGTGCTTATTGCTTATTATTAGCTCAGTTTAATGAGAGCATTTGAAAAAACCATCTTTATTTACATTTTCTAGGGCATAATCAGATTTAACACTACCCTGCCACCCCAACCTGTCCTCTATTTTACGGGGCTGTGCAGGCTAGGGTATGCAAGGCACGGTGACCTGCTTGCCCTCACCCCAGTGAGGCCCTTAAAAACCATTTGCTTCCCAGCCACAATCTTACAGGAAATGGATGATGGTGCAGGGCACGGAGAGGCCAGCTGGTTACCCTCCTTCAGCGAGGGCAGCAAGTGAGCACTGACACCTCAATTACTGGCCCCCATTCCATTCATGTGTTTGGATTCACAGGGTGCTTAAAAACATTGTTTTGATCATTTTGTTCCTTACAAAATGACTCAAGAAGAAATATTTTCCTTCTCTGAACGGGAAGCAATTCAGAAACAAAAAAAAAATTGCCACAGCAGATCATAAAATTTTCACCATAGTTTTTTCATGTTTTTGTTGTAAAGCCAGAGACTTGCAGAATTCTCTTCAATTAACTTGCATCTTTAAGGGTTCCTTTATGTAAGTTGAAATTCTAGGGATGCCTTGTATAATTAATTGAGAGATCTTAGCATCCCGAGATCAAAGTATTTTTCTTCTGCTTTGAAGTCCTTTTATCAAATCCACATACAATAACAAAATACAAACAATGCAAATGATTCACCAGTAAAGGAACATCCTTTTCATTAATGATTTATTAGATTCAAAACATGAACAGTCACTTTAATATCAAGCGTACACAATGATTTAGTTCACACTTTGATCTGTCAGCTCTTACTCCACTTGATTTGGCTGTTAATCTGGTATCCTGTGGCTGTTTTTTGATTGATTCAATGAACCAAGTACATGACCCCAAAAAAGGTTTGTATGAAACATGGTGGAGCTTTCTATCAATGATAATTACATACTGTATATCTGAAATGAATGTACTCAATTCTTCAGCAGCAGCAAGAGTTTCAGATTTTTGTTAAACCGTAAAACGTAAATAAATAACAATTAAGTTAAGATTAAGAGAAAAAAGTCTTGTGCCCAGTTTGGTCATAATTTTTTGACAGCTTGCAAAAATAGGTTAGAATTAATATACTGTGACAGTAAGAACTATACCTCTATTTATCAGAATCATATTGAATATTCTGATCAATTCAGCATATTCTCGCAAGAAATGAGGTATAACAATTACAAAACAGTACATGTGCATGCATTTCCTTTCTCTCAGATCGGACTATATAGGGAGATTCTTTTGCAAATAAAAGATTTGAGCATCTTCATAATTTCCATTTTCTAGACCTCATTCAATTCAACAATATGCCAGCAGGGAAGATCTTCTATGAGATGGTCAATTTGCCAAGCCACTTCTGTGTTCGTCATCCAGTTAAGGACAACAGCTGGATCACAGAGGCAGGAGAATCCACAGGAATGTCTGGCTTGCAGCCCAACAATGGGAAGTCACACTACTGAAGCAGTGGGAGACCCAGGAGGAACCTCACATTAGATATCATCACAAAAGGCTTCAAACTCAGTACGCAAAAGCAAAGGTCAGGAGTGTAGGGGAGTCTCAGATGTATCACTCTTCCTCATCACCACCATTTTCATTGGGACAAAGTAAAATGTCCATTTTTGAATCAAACAAGATTCTCTGTGAAATCTGACTAAAACATAGGTTTTTGATATGCGAGGTAGTTATGAAGAGGGAGCTACATGACCCTGCAGCTAAGAGCAGAGGAAGTGAATGAGGAATTACCATTTCAGAGACTTGCATGGAAATATTCTTGAGTATTTCTGCCTTTTGGACAGGTGACAAGTTTAAACGAAAAGGCAAAAATAAACCTCAGCATTTTCCAACTATACACTGATACTGTACATTCCCCACTCACTTCCTCCTCTGACAGCAGCCAAGTTACCACTTGGACAGATTACGCATGTAAAGGAAAATATCAGAGCCTTGTTGGGAAATGTTCCAAGGCTTTCCACCTTTTTTCTTTCAAACTTTAAAGCTGCCTGAGTCTTTCCTTATTAAGTACCTCGTGCTAACACCAAGAATTATGAGTGATTTAACAAGGTAGCAGATCTGATTTTGCCCATTTCCAAGTTTAGTTAATCCAGAGCAGACTGTGTGAAAATTCAATTTATCATATGCTTTGCCTAATAGGATTTGATATTCTGCTGGCAGTACAGGCCAATGACTGACACAACCGGAAGTTAAGTCATCCACTTTGACCTATCACGATTTCACTGTAACTGTTCTGTGAACGTACATCCTGAATTGTTCACAATCACTGTTGAATAACAATGCATGACTCAGTCCACCAGAGAAATGGAGAGCTGAAAATAATAGGTTCAATGAAGCACCAGCAGCTTGAGTTTGAAATTTGATTATTTCTAACTGATTGGAACCAGAAGATATAATACAATGACAGCATTTGTGTGTTATTCGGTATAGGTCTGAAAGGGCTAATACTGAGTGGTCTCAATCTGCCTCCAACAGAATGTGGCAATACTTGTATTATCTCCTGTGACCTAAGAAACTGGGTGTGGTGTTGAAGAATTCAATAGGCATATATTACAATTAACTAATATGTGCAAACATTACTACCTTCAGCCATGTAAGTGTCTGGCTAGCATTAAGCTCTGAGTTTACAACTGAGGAGCATATTTCCAGTATAGCCCCATGCTTCAATTGATCTCAGGTAAGATAGAGTATACCCTCAGGTCACGTGCCATAATGTAATAATATCTTAAGCATCTGAAGGGTCTAGGCCCGAAACATCAGCCTTTCTGCTCCTATGATGCTGCTTGGCCTGCTGTGTTCATCCAGCCATGCACCTTGTTGTCTCTGAATATAACAGTCCTCTTTTCCCAAAGATAAAAATTTTTCCAAAACATGCACAGTGGCTCAGTGGTTAGCACTGCTGCCTCACAGCAACAGGGACCCGGATTTGATTCCACCCTCGGGTGACTGTCTTTGTGGAGTTTGCACATTCTCCCCGAGTCTGGATTTCCTCTGGGTGATCCGGTTTCCTCCCACAGTCCAAACATGTGCAGGCTAGGTGGACTGGCCATGCTAAATGGCCTGATTCCCTGGTATTCAGGGATGTGTAGATTAGGTGGGTTGTAGGGGGATGGGTCTGGTTGGGATACTCGAGGGTCTGGGTGTGGACTTGTTGGGCCGAAGGGCCTGTTTCCACACTGTAGGGATTCTATAGCGATGTGTACTTGCAGGTACACAGGCATGTGTTGTCAATTCGATATACAAACATGTAAAACAGATGTTAACATGTTAACAAGACTAACATTTAAAACTTCAGTGTAACACTTAGGTCTCTTGACAATTTGAATCTAGTATTTGCATTCCCAACTGGAGAAGGATTCATTGTTCTCTGCTGCACTTATTGGACAACATTGTTATCATGCAATCGTCATCATTGGGAGTATTCTTCCTCACTCTCTTCATACATGATTAGTGCGTATGAGCTGGCTTCAAATTGTAGCACCATAAATAGTGATGGCCTAGAGTCACAGAGCATGGAAACAGACCCTTCAGTCCAACTCATCCATGCCGACCAGGTATCCTAAACTGAACTAATCCCATTTGCCTAAATTTTATAGAATCCCATAAAATCTCATAAAGAGGCCATTCAGCCCATCAAGTCTATGCTGACCCTCTGAAGAGCACCCCACCCTGCCCAGCAACCCCCAACCTATCCCTGTAACCATGCATTTACCATGCCTAATCCACCTAGCCTGCACATGTTTGCGCGCTACGGAGCAATTTAACATGGTCAATCCACCAAAACAAGCTTGTCAGAACTGTACAGCAAACAAACCTCACAGATACAGACATTGCCCAGCTATTAAAAATAAATGGTTTATCTGTCACACAGCAAGTCACTTTCAGAAACTGTGGTAAAATAGGACACAGTCACAGAAAAGCAGAAGTCAAGTTGTTACCCACATAGTGGGAGGGGGAACAGTTTTCAATAAAAAAATACCTAAAGTATTCCTAAATTAGTGATCCAGACCCAAACTGCATCTTCTCCACAATAACACTCAACACTAGAGCCCCCCAAGGATGCATTCTCAGCCCCCTACTGTACTCCCTGTACACCTATGACTGTATTGCCAAATTCTGAATGAACGCCATCTACAAGTTCACTGATGACACCACCGTGATAGGACTGATATCTAACAACAATCAGTCAAAATACAGAATGGAGATAGAGGGCTCGGTGATGTGGTGCAACCTACAAAATTCTAAGGGAGTGTGACAGGGTAAGTGTTGAGAAGGTGTTACCACCAGTAGAGGGACTTTTAACTAGGTGATATAGTCATAGAATAAGGGGACACTCATTTAAAAGTGAGACATGAAGAAATTTCTTCTCTCAGAGATTGGTGGATGGTATTCTCTACCACAGAGAGTGGTGGAGGTCACTGAAAATATTTAAAGAGGAGGTAGATGGATTTTTAAAATATCAGGGAGTTGAGGAAGGGCTATAATGAACTGGTGTGAAGTAAGAGTTGAGGCCTAGGGGATATCAGCCATGATCTTGTTGAATGACAGGGCAGACTCAAGGGACCAAATGGTTTACTACTATACCTCATTTGTATATTATTCATACGCATGGATTTGTTAGACCAAATGAGCTCTTTCTGTACCATATATCCTATGTAATCTTATGTAATATTATTTGGAAAATAATTGCCTAAATGGGGTAGAGAAAGGTTTCTGGAGGTATAGCTGCATAAATAGCTAAAAATAACAATACAATGGAATAGGTAAATAAAAGTAAACACTGACGTTCATTTATTACAGGACAAATTAAAAAATGTTATATTGAATTAGTGCAGAAACTTGGCTAGACAATAGTTAGACACGTACAAACAATTCTGCTCTCCAAATTATAAATGTGACATTATAAACAGACACTTGCCCAAATATTCCAATAGCCAAGAGTCACTGGAGCTGTGTACACTAGAATTTTACATCGGTACATGCAGAATTGCTGATCCAGCTGACTCCATAGGAATTGCCTGGAAAGTTGAGCTTTCCAGTGGGCAATTTCCCTACATTTGGAACCTTCCAAAAAAGATTCATTGAAGTCAAAGAATTTGGGGTATTCTGACTCACTCAAGTTTAATAATTACCCAGGAAAGATTAGAGGATTAGAAACCTACTCTAACTCATGAGTAACTATCAAACTGAACACTTGACTTACCATAACTTCGCAAATATACATCCCCCGAACCTGAACATCACCCCATCCCTTGCAACCAAGCCCTCTGTCCAATCACCTCCTACTACTCCCCCAGCCCAAGCAATCCTACCCTGCTGCACAGCTCCACCGCTCACCCTATCCAGTTCAAACCTGCTGGATCCGGTCTTGCTGGAGCTGTCATCTCAACCACTCTCAGCCCAGACTGAGTCAACAGCAATCCCACCAGCCTGGCCTGACCTGATTCAACTCTGCTGGAACTGACATGTCTCCCGACCCCAGCCCAGCTTGGCCAACCCTAGTGGAGCCAAAATTCTATTTGTGTCTCTCCTCATGTTGGCCCGATCTAACTCTGTTTGAGCCAACACCTTGGCCCCCTGAAGTCTAACCATACACTACTGAAGCTAACGCCACCACAGCCAACCCTGGCTGATACTTCCTCTGGCCCTAACCAGCTAGAGCTAACATGACAGCCATCTCTTCACCAAAATCTACCCTAAGCACTCACCTATTTACCTGACATCTTACACATCCCCCTCATATACTTAGTATATTACATTCCTAACCCAATGGCACGCAACTCCTTTGCCTATCTACATGAAACACTACCACCTCAGCGCATGGTCCTTGTCATTGTCAAAGTGACTTTGGGACCTTCAACTCCTGAAAAACAGCAGCGACTATTGTAATAAGAAGGGAGGCATGTCTTGATCTACCATGGTGCTCCTGCATTTGGTGGATTTCTCTGTGATTATGTCTGATGGACACACTTGGGATAGGCCTGAGTCAGAATTTTAAGCCAGAAGATCACCAACAAGTAACTGGTTAATTTTAAACAGAATCACCACTGATGATAAGCAAAATAAAAAAAGGCTAATATAAAAAAGTTACTAGATTAATACCAGAACTCAGACATTATACCTGTCAGGAAAGACCAATAACTGGTGCTCTTTCATCAGCAAAAGAAGAAAACTGAAGGATGGCCTCAAAGAGATTGATAAGTTTATGAGATGATTTGGCCAAATTAACAGGGAGATGCTGTTCCATTTTTAGGTGACACCAAAGCAAGCAGCCATATGTATAACGTAAACACCAAAAAATTCAATAGCAAATTCAGAACAAAGGTTTTCACTCATGTGCTGAAGTATATAGGATATATTATCATTATTTGGATACCTGGGTCTAATGTAAAGGTAAATGGGCTTTTGGTTTCCAGTTCAGTGAATATGGCCATTTTTTTGAGGGTCAAAAAGTCATTTCTTTTCAGTGGGTCTAAACATTAGAGACATCACGTAACTTAAGATACATGATTACACAGCGAGAGACAGACGAAGTGGGGCCATAAACAACTCACGGGAAAAAAAAATTCATTCTAACATTTAGTTTTGGCATACCAAGCGGAGTAGAACAACATCGC